AACTAGTGAACATTTAAAAATACATATGCAAATTTTCTATAATATTTAATGAATTGTGGTCATTACTTCCAGTATAACTACTGACATTTGTGAGAATATCTTATATTTAAAAATGAGGTTTACTTAGATGCAGGTGATTTGGAAGAGAAGTTATTCAGTATGTTCTAGACTTAGAGCACTAACTCGGTGGTGCTCAAAATTATTTTATTTTGACATCACACAAATTTAGATATTTTAATCTCCAGCATGTACTAATTCCACACTAAGCTATTTTCATACTATGATGAATGAATTTCTCAGTAACATTTAAAGCAATCTTACAACTTAAAGTTTTAACAGAATCTTTTCTACAAAAAAATCTACATTTTAAAAGTGATAACATTTATGCTGCCCTGATACGCCCAATGAGTGATACTCAAAGGAAACAAAGCGTGTATCTCTGTTCCCATGTGCTCCAGTCTATTCCACACACTTTAGACCATTAAAACACAGGTAGGCGATAGGTAGTTAGATAGGTTATTGTTTTCATTAAGCCCCCCCCACCCCCCCCCACCCCCCGTGAACAAAACAGAGTGACAGCACCCATTTCTCATTAGGTAAAATGCATGCTATTTTGCAAAAACGGGTACTCTCTATTTTAAAAAGTCTCCAATTAAAAACAAAAAGCAGAGTGAATGTTTACTTTAAAAAAATGCAGAAGAATTTGCCAAAGGATCATTTTGATGCCATGAGTGCCTCCAGAAAATAAAGTTTATATTTTACAGAATGTGGTAATATACTTAGTTTTTTAGAAACTCAATTACTATATTCTGCAAAGAATACCAGTACTGTATAATTATGCTTGTTCTTAACTATTAAATTTATAACAAATAAAATATATTTTTAAGCACCTTGTATGTTTTGGTAATATAACTTTAGTTTTAATTTTTAGATGACTGTGACCTATGACTAGAAAGTATAAAGCATGACTAATCCTGTTTTTTTTTCTTTTTAGTACTTCCTGCATGTGATTTTTAGATATTAGCCTCATCATCAATTCTGAGAAAGCATAAAAATTTTTAAAGAGTAATAACCCATACTAAAGTGTGTAAGAAAAGTAGTTGTATCTTTCAAATAATTCTAGTGATATTTTAATGAATATAAATTATGCAGAGAACAATCAAATATGTATTACAATTAGTATTTCATAAAAAATAAGAGGAAAAATGCATGTAACATGATGAAAATGGGCTCATATTCACAAAGTGAAATCTTTGAAACTAATGAAGTCCCTCAAATTTTCTGTATAAAATAATAAAATAAAATACATAAAGGTTTTTATATCTTTACCACTGCAACTTGTCTTTCCATTTTTGAAAATTACTTATTTTAATAACTTAAAAAGCATGAAAATGTTTTATTATGGCTTACTCATTGTGGTCATTAATTTCTAGCACAATTACTAAAATAACTGAGAATATCTTATATTTGAAGTGAAAGTTATTTAATTTAAGGTGACATGGAGATATTTTATTCAATATCTTCTGTAATCAGAGTACCAAATTCAGAAGTGATTAAAATTATTATATCTTACACTCCACAAATTTTGATGTTATTCTCTGATATATAATAATTCCATATTAATTTACTTATATACTATGAGTTTATAAGTAGTATTTAAAGCAATCCTACAGAAAATATTTAAACTACATAAAAAATTATAAATGGTGTACTAAAATTTTTTTCATATACCCAATACATTTAGAAAATAAATCCACAAAAATGCAACCAAACTGTAGAGAATTAAATATTAGTATATATTAACATTGCTAGATTTTGTAATAAACAAAACCAGGATTAATAGTTTTGTTAAAGTTTACTACTTCAACTAAAAACCTTTTTCCAAAAACACTTCCAATCAATCAGTTTTGATAAGGAATAATTATTTATATATTAATGTAAGCTAATCATTATACCTTTTACTTATTTATCACTTCAAAAAGTTTACAGAGTGCTTCACATGCATAATAAATAAAAATTCAACCTGTTAAATCATGGTATAGATAATGACAATTTAAACCCTAAAACACATAAGCTAGAGCTAAACCATTCTACAAAACATAGTAGCTTAAAAAAGGTATTTTAAGTATCAGATGTCTCTGTTTGATTTTACACTTGATTCTATGTACTACAATTACACTTCATGAAATTTTCAAGAACTTAGCATTTGAATTTGTTTCAAATAAATATAATCAGATGTTTCTTTAGAAGCAGAGTTTCAAAATTATTGTCTTAAAATTCTATAATAAACAAAATGATGGAAATCTAATATTAAAAGGACTAGGAAGGTAGATTTTTATAGTTTCTAAATAGATTTAGGAGTACTGTACCAATGATTCCATTGAAAAACACTGAAATATTAAGAGATATACATGGCTACCCAAGATGTCAAGTCCTAAAATAAATAAGAACTATTTTATGCTATATCCATACTTGGCATACTAACCTGTCATTGTATCATGACTGAAAAAATTCTTACTTCTTGTGTTAACTGAAATTATCATGTACATTTAATTTCATATAAAAGATGAGCCATTACCTTAGTGAGACCTAAGTAACATCGTATGTAATGAATTTATATATACTAGTTACTTTTGAAGAAAACTCTGAGTTTATATTTTAAATGTGTATTTTAAAAATCATTAAATTATATTAGTGGGTACAAATATTTGGGCCTTAAAAATCAAACATATTTCATATTCAAATGACATTTTATTTAGTAGATGAACTTTCTGGGTGAAACCATCTTTTAGACTGAATTTTCTGCCATATCACCTTTGTTCATGGAGACAAGTAGGCAACAGGGAAAGCTGCGTATGGCGTTATTTTAGGGGATAGACTAATGGACTTGGAGCATGTGGAGATCAGCATTAGTATACCACCAGCTCTCTGTGCTGAGACATGTAGAATTACAGGAAGAAAGGCCAAGTCCTTTGACTATCTCTTAGGATTAAGTTTGCTAAAAGGTCTAAATGAAAAAAAAAATTAATGAGGACCAGCTATTAGTTGCTCACGTTAGGTAGTCAAAACCCAACCCTCTGGTCTTCAGCTTGGGAGACCTGACACTTGATAACAGAGCAGCCGACATCTATGGGGCACCAGCACTGAGTGGACATCAGAGCCCCCTTAAAGAATCCCTTAAAGAATCCCTTGAGATACCACCGAAGTTCTGCGATCTCCTCTGAACTCCTGAGGCTCTCAGTAACCCTACAGTGATTCTGAGCCTGCATTTCTTCAAAAGATTCGTGTGGCAAGCGACAGTTGCCTTCATGTGGACATTGGCTAACGATGAGCTGTCATTTACAGGAAAGGATAGAGAGAGGAAAATATCGGCACAATGCAATGCCGATTCATTGTTACTGACCAAAGCAGAGAACAATTTATAAGCACTGTCCTGGGGCATAAATGCAGAGATTCCATTCCTACCAGAGTAAACCTACACGGAGAACGATCGCACTCTGCCTGCTGACGATGCACCTCGGGACTCACCAGAACGATCAGTTTCTTTAGGAAATATTCCCTGATCGCCGTCCCCTACTCATGCATTAGGGATTCTCCCTATATACAGCTGAAAACTTAATCAAATTAGACCTGCAGCAGCACTACTGGAGTGATGTATTTACATTTTTATCTTGAACACTAGAAGGTAAAGTTCTAGCAAACAGAGACCGTGATTATTTTATTTTTATGTCCCCAGGACTCACTGCCTAGCACATAGTAAGTGCTCAGTAAATACTTGTTGAATGGAAATTAACTGAAAAAGGTCTGACCACCACATCCTGCACATCTGCCACAGTAATGATTTGGAGGTGGGGAAGAGAAGATTCCTTAAGAAGCACCAAGGCTTAATTGTTCTTTTGAAAGAGAGAGACCAACAGCTTGAGATGAAAATACCATGATATAGTCTCCTCAATGCTAGAATAAATGCAGGTATTATAACATCAGAAAACATCAGTGAGCCTGCTATCACTGACTAAATAACACCTCTGTAGGCCAATGCAAAGAAACTTACATCACTTATCATAATGATAGTGTTTTACTGTCATAAATACTTAAAACCGAAGAATCTGGTATAAGAAAAAAATTTAAATATATGCATATTTCTGGGACTCCATATTTTATATGTTAAACTTATTTAAAGCTTTCAAATGACTAGACTTATTTTCTTACTAGTATATTGTTACAAAGTATTTAAAATTGCTCTAATTATTTGGAATAGAATAATTGATATCACTGACAAAAATGTTGTTTTATATGTGGATCACTTTCTCTGAAATAAAAGTTCATTCATTCTTTTGGAAAAAATGGTTTTCCAAAGGGAAGTTCAAGTTATTAAAGTTACTACAAAAATATTTCTGATGACACAGAAACATACATTTACTTCATCAATAGACATAAAAGGATTTCTTACATATACAACATTAATAAAGTTTTTATGAAAGTAATGGGCCTATGAAAAAGTTAAAAACTGAAATGTCTACATTTCAACTTTTCTGTCATTTATGGAAGATATAAAGCATTCGTTATACTCTCTGCCTCTTTAAATTTAACCTATTTTTATGAAACATTCTTAAATAACAGGGGGACATATGGGATAAGGATTGAAATATGTACTTTGGATACATTTTATAGACAAAAGCTGTAATCAAGGCAATTATAATCAGAGAATAAAGCAAACAACTGAATATCACAATTGCACACAGAATAAAGCTTGATTAAATAGTTAGAAGGCAAAGAGCTGCATGTATAAAACACAAAGTACAGTCTAATGGTTCGCATGCTTAGGTGATTTCAACTTAGCTCTTAGATGCAACTTCATAAAAGTCTAATGTAAATAAAATGTGCGTTAAGCTCTTTCCCCTAAGACAAAACTATTCAAAACTCTTCAAGTCTCTTAATCACCATACATTTTACAATGCCAAAGAAGAATAAAAGGAGAAATTATTAATTTTTAAAATTACCCAGCAATTCCATCGCATCATCTTCATTATCAATATCTTCTTCTGTTACGGGTGGGGTAGGGCTGTGAATAGACTCAAAAGAATCTTGAGAGAGCATCGCTGCCAGCAGTTTCTTATGTTGCTGTTGCTGCTGTTTTAATCCCTTGGTCTTGGGTTCCACCTTTAAGCTGAAGAAATATTTAAGTGTTAGCTTTGAATGATGATGACATGATGCATTAGCTGTGGTGAGTGAAGAAAATCGACAATCACATTTCATTCCATTATTTTGCCATGCAAATTTATGGACATTTTATTAAAATTTTCCCTAAGTATAATAAAAATACAGAGCCGGTCTTCTTTCTTAGACATCCTTTGGTACCTCATTTCTCAAGTTTTCATTTTAATAAAGTCCAGTTTACATTTTTCTTTCATGGATTGTGCCTTTGGTGTTATACCTAAAAATTCCCTGCCACACCTGAGGTCATATAGGTTATCTCTTATTTTCTTTAGAAGTTTTATAGTTTTACATTTTACATTTAGGTCTATGACCCATTTAGAGTTAAATTTTGTGGTGGGTGGGAGGTCTCTGTCTAGACTTCTTTTTTTTTTAACATGTGGACGTCCAGTTGTTCCAGCACCATTTGTAGAAAAGGCTACCTTTGCTCCATTGGATTGCTTTGGCTCCTTCGTCAAAGATTAGTTTACTATATTTCTGGGCTATGTGGCCTCTCTTTCCTGTCCCATTCTCTAATCTTTTGCCAATATACATTGTCTTGATTACTGTGGATTTATAGTAAGTCTTAGAGAAAGTTAATATCAGTTCTCCAATTTTGTTCTTCTCTTTCAATAATTTGTTCACCGTTCTGGGTCTTTCACCGCTCTATACAAACTTTGGAATCAGTTAGTTGATATTCACAAAACAACCTGCTGAAATTTTGATTGGGCCTATACATAAGTTTTAGTCTATTTTCTCTCTGGTGTTCATTTTGGATAAATTCTATAGATCTATCCTCATTAAAAAACTCTATACTCTGTCATTTCCAATCTGGGTCCATTTAACAAGTTTTTATATTTTGTTTCAGTTACATAAATTTCACTTGGTTCTTTGTCAGTATTTATATTTGTTGATATTTGGTGTTCTCATTTGTTTCAAGGGAACTTATAATTGCTTGTTGAAGCATTTTTATGATTTTTTAAAAAGCAGGATTAATTAGATTTAATGGGAAGAATCCAAAATAAAGTTCAAAGTTGTAAACCAGCGGTTCTCAACCTGTGGGTCGCGATCCCTTTGGGGGTCGAACGACCCTTTCACAGGGGTCGCCTAAGACCATCGGAAAACACATATATAATTACATATTGTTTTTGAGATTAATCACGATGCTTTAATTATGTTCAATTTGTAACAATGAAATTGGGGGTCACCACGACATGAGGAACTGTATTAAAGGGTCGCGCCATTAGGAAGGTTGAGAACCACTGTTGTAAACTAAGATGGCTGAGGGTTTCAGTGACGCTGACATGATCAGAGCAAATTGTGGGAGTTGCATGTTCACTGAAGAAAGTCCATCGCATATTATAATCTAATGTCTGATGTGAGAATGATGCCACTTCATCTTCTGGCTCTATTTTAGGAAACACATGCATTTAAATTCTTTGCCAGATAATTCCATCATCTGATTCATCTTAGTGTTAGCATTAGTTGACTATCTTTTCTCATGTAAGGTGTGGTTTTCCTGGTTCTTCGTATAATGTGACTTGCACAATTTGACTATTATTTTAAGAGTGTCTGGGGCCTATTCATATCTTTTATTTTAAAAGGCAGCCCCCTGGCTTACTTTTGTAACTTGTGGTTCCAGTGACAGCTTCAGAGCTCTTGAAGTGCTATTTTAGTTTGCCTGGGCTGTCTGGTGTTGCTGTGGCTCCCAGTGTACCTGCTGAGAGGGCAAAAGGAGCATCTCTAGGTTGTGCATCTGGTGCCTTTAGGTAGATAAAGGGAATGTCTGGTTATGGGGACATAAAGGATTCCCATGTCAAGTTTTGTTGTGGAGGGAACCCTTTTGTGTCTTTTTGTCAAGTAAAAGGCACTTAACTGCCCACTGTCTTCAGAGGGGAAGAGGAGTCTCAAGTCTGGCAGGAAAGGACAGTATGCCCTCTGACCCTTTCTTGTGGTGGGACTCTGTCAATTCCCTGGCCAGTGCAGCCAGGTTCTGCCCGTGAGGCCGGCAGGACTCCTGTCTGATTAGGGGGGAAAATGAACTTATCAAGGCCACCACCTCCTCTTGCTAGTCTGGGGTTGGGAAATGCCAGGCCTCGTTTGCCTTACGCTGTTGGTGGGAGAATCATACGTTGCTGGCCACTGTTGTTCCTCCAGTCGTCAGATCCCTAGCCATTCCATCCTCCTCTTTACATTTTTCACAGCATAAAACTGCTTCGGCTGCCTTCTCCATTATTTCCAAGGTTTATAGTTGTATTTAAGGGGGAGGAGCTGAGAGAGTCTGTGCCATTTTTTTCCAAAGCAGAGGTAGTAGATGACTTCTTAATTACAAAGAGCAAATGTATCTTCACAATGAAGAACCCTAGAGGATATGGCCTTAACCTTGCAAGTAAACAAACTCAGTATCAGCAATAATGGGGCAAACTGACATTATGAATCTCTAGATATGGGAAAAAGAAGAAGTACTCAGTACTATTACCTATGTAGAATTACTGCCAAAAATATTTAACTTGAGTTTAATTATCAGGAAACAATCAGACATGTCCAGATTTGGAAACAATTGCCTGCCATCTACAAGGATATCAATGTTATAAAATAAAACAAAAGTCGGAGACTGTTCTAGATTATAAAGACTAAAGAGACTTGAAAACTTAACTCCACACATGATCCTTCATTAGATGGTGGATAAAAAAGAAACAAACAAACACCAAAACACAACAATCTATAATAGACTCTACTGGAAAAAAGAGAGAAAGTTGAATATAGACTTCATATTAGATAATTTGATAGTATCACTGTTAAAAATTTTGTTATGTTAATGGCATTATAGTTGTATATGAGGATATCCTTATTCTCAGGAAATAAATGTTAAAGAATTAATGAATTAATACATTATA